CACACACACACACACACACACACACACATAACACAGACACACTAGTAAGTAACACATCCAGTAAATAGCATGTAACTATACTGATTACATGGTACATTATACATTTACCTCAGGAATTTAGCACTATTCACCGATATTTTATCTTGTTTTATCTGTTTTACTTTATAATTCTTTGTAACCCGTCCCAGGAACAGTGGTCACAACTCAGGCCAAAGTGTATTGTGGGAGTATATGATGGCACCATGTGCCACATCTTGAGAATATATTCCGTCCCATCCTCACGAGGATTTTTAACAGGTCTGATTAGCCACCATCCAGCGGCTGCTGAAAGATCTGACATCATGTAGAGTAGCATGCCACTAGGTTATGTACCTCAACCTGGCCCACTGATCCACACATTTATGGAGCCTGGACTTTCGCGAACCACTGAGATCTGGAGGATTGATGGTGTATATTGGGTATCTTGGAAACCAAAATGAACCTTTATAGGTCTCACGACGCATCCACATGGAGGAGAATGGGAAAGCACGAGCGTAAACACAAAAGGATGTTTGCGTTTAATATACCTTTATGTTTCTAGAGTGAGTGGTGTGTGTGATGAGGAAAGAACAGGCCCACTGCACGGTGTGTGATGTTGCATGTTGGTGCGTGTGAGGTGTTAGCTGGACAGTAGACAGGCGAATGTGTGAGAGTTGTGTGGTGGCGTTGGGCATTTCCTGAAATATATTTATATTCATGTACCCCAGTCAGGGTATATATAATAATATATATATATATTATATATCATACTTTATATACAGATACTATATATAAGTCATTCGATACCATGGATATATAGGTTACATGTATTGGCGTTACTCCCCAATACTGGTGGTACCAGAGAGCCAAAGAAGAAAGGACGGGGAGCCATGAACCATCATGGAAGAACAGGCCCCTGCACGGCATGTAGTACTGACAGATAGAGGAAGTGGCTGGCATCCTGAAATTCTACCAGCAGCTCAACAAAGCTGGACCAGAAGAAAGCACTGAGTCACCAATCATGGCATGGCATGCTATTTTTTCATGGTCAGTGTAAATGTCGGGGACAGAAGATTATATAGGTCCCTCATCCTATTCATGTGAACCCCTCCTTCATGTAAAACTCAAACTTACTTGGAGGAACAACAGTTAGGTAGGTGATGCTGATGGGGTGAATATACAGACTGGCTCGTTTCGTTTTTCTCTGGTCAACGTAACACACATAGAGTCCTGAGTCATCAGCTGTCACATCCTTCAAAATCAAAGACACGTCTCCACCCTTCATCTGTCTGTCCTTCAGATCCACCCTGTTCTTAAAAAATGGATGCTGATAATCTGTATCAATCTCATCATCCTGGTAAAAAAGGACATATTCTGGCTCCAGGTCAGGTCTTATCCAAAATGCAGCTATGATGGGGTCATTGCTGTTTGGAGCTTGACATTCTAGAGTGGCCGTGTCTCCCCCAATAATTATGTTGTTATTGTGGTCTGAAAGAAGAAACAAAATAGAGCACAGAGGTTAAAGAACTAACTGATCACTACAGCAGCAGCCAATCACAGAAAAGAAGAAAACAAAGTAATATCTATACATATATGTAGATAGACAGATCTAATAGACCTACATTGTATAGGTTGCTATGGCCATCTGAGTACAACAGATGTCTACAAATGCACCTGTCTTTTACAGGCTGTAGCCAGTTTTAAAGTATAAGGTACAAGTACAAGGATCCAAGCTTTGTTCACCTCAGAAACATCAGACATCAAGAACCAGGAAGCAGCTTCATCTCTACTAACAAACTGAACTCTACCAACTCACTTTGAAGAGAAACAGTCAGGTAGGTGGCTCTGATGTAGTAACCATCCAGACTCGTTGTTTTGCTGTGGTTCGCTCTTTTATGGACCACGTAACACTCGTATGCTCCCGCGTCATCAGTAGTAAGATCCATCAGAATCAAAGACACGTCTCCACCCTTCATCTGTCTGTCCTGCAGATCCACCCTGTGGTTTAGCAGCTCGAAACGCAGTGCTACTGAGGTCAGAATGCAGACCGACCCTTGTGTTCTGTTAATTACATAGTGAGTGAGAAAGGTGGCTGGAAAATGGGGGAAACGAATTCGATCGGGCATGGGTAGACTCAAATCACATAGGGCATGATCCTTCCCCGGGCAGGTAAACCTATGATACTATATGCGAAGCACAATAACCTGAAGGGAGGACGTCCCCAGGGTGCTACCCTCAGCGGTCCTTACGCCCCCACGCCCTACAACGCTATACTCGCATTTAGTGAGGCATAAAGAGGGAGACGTTTAAAGCCATAACAGTTTCATTAAGAAGTTAGACAGAACAGCAGGGCCGAAGGTGCTTGTCTGTCTCCGAAATCCAAAAACTGGAGAAGCTGGTTCTACAGAAGAAGGGGCCTGAAAAACTGAAGGCTCTCAACACCGACCATCCCCTATATTATCCTACTCGTGGTTTAAAGACTATACTCCGGTGAAAGAGGAGGAAACACAACACAAGTAGGGCCTTGAATTCAATTCAAAGGTATGAGAAAAAGAAGCAGGTGTAGCAGGAAGACAGGACAAGCTCAGGCAAAAAGAGTGCTCACAAGCTAAATGACGCAGCTCTCCTCCTCCCACATTTCTGGTTTAACAGAATTGCTTGGAAAAGAAACAGACCTCAGATCAGTCCTTAAGCTTTAACTTTCGGCAGATGTGGCAGGTCATACAGCCCAGTTAAACACACCTTTAAAACAATGAACAGAATCCTTGAAGAGTGTTAATAATTTATAAATCTGAAATTTAATCTCACCTGCAGACGAGAGGCAGACAGACAGTAAAGTCCAGCAGATAGATGCAGACGTTACAGCAGACATTGCTCCTTCGTTTAAAGTGTAATAAATGTCCAAAAGATGGTGGTATTTTTCAACAATTAAAAAAATCCCTGAACTTAAAATCTGATGTTTTTTTAAAGAAAGCTGAAAGTCTCTTAGTGTGATACCAGTTATCAGTTAACTTGTTCTTGCGATGGTCCAGACAGACGAGTGTTTCTTTCTCTTTCTCTTTACTCGAGTTTACGGTAGCGCAGTCTGCAGACCTTTACGTCTTTTTATTGGCCCGGTGAGCGTAGACACTGTTGATTCGTGCCAATAGGAGCGGCGAATCCCAATGTAGACAACCAATCGACGGAAGTTGCGTCACCAAAACAACACCACGCAGCGGAACAGCGAAGAAGCCGGTGTTCTGACAAAACTTTTGACAGATGCATCTATGGTCAGAAAGGGATTGAAGATCACACCTTTTAAGAGATCTGGGAATTATATTGTCAGTACAGCAGCCAAAAGGACAGACCTGAGAAGTTCAGTGATGAGCAGAAGGAGGTCATTCAGAAGGCACACAGTTTTGTTTGTTTGTTTGTTTTTTCACTTTATTTATCACATTTTAGACATACAGTCAAGTTAAACAGGAATCACATAAAAGATGACATTGTGGTATTACAATTTGGAACAAAGAGTGACAGGGACAGTGAGACAAACGTGAGAACAAAAAATAAAATAAATTAAGGGGAACATAAATAAACAAAAGTTTGCAAGAGCCAAAATCAAGTTAGTAGTTTCAAACGGTTACAGATGTTAACAGTCACGAGGGCCTTGGTGTTTTTTGATGAGGAGATTGTCCTTATATATTGTGCAAGTTCCAGTTTTAATACAAGAAGTTCAGGCTTTCTGCCGAGGACTTTGCTTTTGTGTATATGATATTTTGCCAAAAAATAAAACCAAATTTACAAAGAAGAAAGCATCATTGTCCCTGTCTTTAAAATTATAACAGCCAAAGATAACATCCTTATAGTATAGTTGAAGATTAGGGAGAACAGAGTCAGTAATAAACAGTTCTGTGAAGAGGTGGTTGAACACACCAGTGACGCACATCACAAGTATCCAAATGAAGAGGTTCAGAAACAATGCATATGACAAGGAACTGTCAGGTAGTGATCAGCTGATCACGGGGTCGGGTTTGAAAGGGAGACACCACCCACCTGTTCGCCGCTCAAACAGCGTTCTCTTCATGTCAGGAGCTCCTAATCCTTGCCGACGTCAGTCTCCGCCTGCTTCAGCAACTGTGAGTGTTTTTCCTCATGATTCATTTTCTCAGCCCGGCTCCGCTCGCTCTCCGTCTGTAACGCCAGTTCCGAAGCCAGGCTTCGTGCACTGATCGTTACTCGAGTAACTGCGTGCCTGTTCCAACTCATCGCTAGCCTTCGCCGCGTTTGGGTCTAGCCAGCACGCCACACGGGCACGCCGAATTACTGTGTTTAATTCGTGCGTTTCCCCCGATCGTGACAGGGGCAAGGATTAGGAGCTCCTGACATGAAGAGAACGCTGTCTGAGCGGCGAACAGGTGGGTGGTGTCTCCCTTTCAAACCCGACCCCGTGATCAGCTGATCACTACCTGACAGGAACAAGTAAGTGCTGTGCAGCAGAACAGGGCAGTAAATTACTTAGCTAAAGGTAGTGATATGTGATTAATCTTGGCAAAGTGTGCATTTGCATTTTTTCCATCGATCGCGGTACTCACAATGAACTGTATTGTTTAGCAACGGCTGACGAGTACCCCCAGGTGTGATCCTTCATTGTGGCCAGGTGATGATGCTGAACTGATAGCTGCATCCCAGTCTGTGGAAGGTATGTGAGATTCAGAGTTAATATACATTGTACTGTTTGTACAAAGTCATTATAATTACAAAACTAATTGTTCATATCATTTATAGATTCACTGAAGTCCACATCTGCAAGTCAACCTCTAAAGCAGCGGCTGACAAGCAGAGGTGCTTCCTCCTCCCAGACATCTGGAACACAGACACAGCTCACCTGTCCAAGGTGAGCTGTGTCTGTGTTTCAAGGAGTTTGAGAACACTGTACAGTCACAAAACAAATCTACTGTGCAGCCCAAACACCGTGAGTCCACAGAGGCTGCCACACAGTCCAAAAAACTTGACACTGTTGGACTCACTAAGTCATCTGCATCCCAGTCATGATCATACAACACAATTACCGTTGTGAGTCATTCACCTGTAAGTGATATTTATTTGAAATCAGACTATTTCAGTTAGAGTGTGTGTGTGTGCGTGCGTGTTGTTGTAGTATTCTATGTTATATGTGTGTGTTTCAGGTGGAGCTAGAGGGATCGGTGTGTCTCTGGGAAAATCCTAATGGTATCCCATCTGCTGACATTTCCTGGCTTAAAGAGGACACTGAAAGAGGGCTGTTTACTCCTGTTCAGACATACAAGGATGTCACTGGTGTGTTAAAGAGGCGACGGGTGATTAAATCAGATTGCATGTGGTTTTGTCCACCAGAACCTCCTGGCTATGCCAGGGCTGCTGTGCCCAGTGTACAGCTCTTTTGCTTCGCAGCCACGTCTTTTTGTGGGGTCCTGTTGGGTATGGAAGTCCTCTCTGAAGTGTCCTCGAGCTGACGAATGTGTGGGTAAAGGACAAAATGTGCACATATATAAGTCTGGCTATCACCAGGGTAATTTCACATAAATATTTTACTCAAGTCTTCAAATGTAAACGGTAAAACTGCCATCCTTGATTCATATGCCTATTTTGGTCATTTCCTCTCTTTATTATAGACTTCAGGTATGTCACATCTGTGACGTGTCCAACTGGTACACGATGCTTACTGAGGTCCCGTGCTGCGGCCATGTACAAAGGCAGGCAGAAGTGGCGGAGGAGGAAAAGTTGGTCGGTGGCTTGCCTGGGACTCGGCAATTTTATCACAACTCAGGGACACCAAGCCATGTTCCCGGCAATCCTGACTAGCAAGTGAGTAAAATGATCACCACGTTCATTTGTATCTTAAAGGCTATAAGTTTGTTTTTGTAGGGTTTCTGTTGTTGTTTTGTAAAAGTTCTCAATCAGTCACTCAATTCAACATCAAGAACTTGGCTGTGACTGTCCTTGAGGGCGCGGTGTGGATACGAATGTTGTGCTCTTTCTGAGAGACAGAACCAAAGGAAACACTATGGTCAAGCTTTGGCGGCAGATACAGGAGAATCACATGCAGGAGTACCTTCAGCGGAAGGACCTGTGCGCCACACTCCTAATGACTTTTGCGGAGCCCGGGGGTATCGTCTCATCCTTACAGCACACATTCCAGGCGCCACTTCCTCCAAGAGAGCTTCCCTTTGCATGGCTCTTGCACCACACTTTCCTGCTGGCAGAGGCCAGCAATATGAGGGATTACCGAAGCCAGATTCTGTCCACTTTTGGCACAGTGCTGAAAATGGATTCCACCAACAAAGTATGTACTTCATAATACTGTATCACACACGTTTTGTTTTAAAGTCATGAAACAAGCAAGCAGACCTTGCTTATTCTTGAAAGACGCTGGTCTGTTGTCTTCAACAGATATTGACCACGTATTTGTTTTGTGTGTGATTAGCCTTTGAACAATTTTTATGGACAGAAAGGTATATCTCTGTATTGTTGTGACAGAAGGAATACAAAAGATGTTCATGGTATTGTAATGGGGTTTTTATTATTTAAAATACTATTACATAATGCAAACATTTCCCTTTTTTTTCTTTTAGGTGGTGAAAAAGCTGTCTGGGGAAGGTCATGGTTCGGAAATGAAATGCTTGTGCGTCTGGACATCTTTCACTGGATCCACCGGTTTGATGCAGCCATCCGTACAGAGCCTCATGCAAAGTACTCTGCATTTAAGTCCGCACTGAAGTGAGTCTCTTCAAAACACCTGGTAGAAAAGTCCTCATTTCAAAAGGTTGTTATAATATTAATACAATTTGGGACAAACTGAAGATCACACAAGGTGAAATATGAGCCCACGCCCAGCACTGCACGGACCAAGGTTTTGAAGGGAAGGAGAGACTTGTTGATGCCAGTCTCCCAGCCCCAGCCACCTCTTCCACCTGTGCCACTACTAGCCGTGGGTTTTTATAATCGATTTATCGACTAAAATCGATTCCGGCTTGGATAACGTGAAATCGATTCCTTAAAATCCTGAATCGATTTTTTTAATATAAATTTATTTTGCCCAAAATGCCAGAATCTCAGGTGAAACCTCAAAATTTCAAAAACCACCAAACATTTAAAACAGTAAATGAGAGCAGGTGCACCTTTTTGCAGAATGGGGGCCCAACAGTCTCAGAGGTTGATGTAGAAGCAGCCACTGAAGACACAGGTCTGGTGATGGTAGAGGTTGTGGGGGGTTTATCCTTTCAATTGCTGGTAGTGGCTAGGGCTGGGTATCGTCACTGATTTCTAGAATCGATTCAATTCCAATTCACAAGGTCCCGAATCGATTTGATCCACGATTCGATATTCAATTCGATTCGATCTGGGAAATTTTGACAGTCAGAAATATTATAATTCAGATCAGTACATTTACATATTTTTGTATCTATAAAAAGGAAGCTGACACTTTCAAGACTTTATCAAAGGTGTGAGCATCACAGCAGATGCCTTTGTGTCAAAGTAGCTGAAGATAAAACACAGAAAAACATGAAGGTGATTTTCCTGGCCTGGATTTTATAAAAATATTCTGCAGTACATCAAAAATGAAAGAAAACCATTAATCAACATATGAACATTACCTCTGAAGTTACAGCGGTTTTATTAGAGACACGGCTTTTTGCATAATTTTAAAAAGTTTAAATTTGTTCAGTATTGAACAGCAGAAATGAGGTTTTCTTTTCGGAAGTAATGTAAAAGGGAAAAAACCCAAAAACAAACACAGATAAAAAAAAAACAGCAGCCCACAGGTCTGAATCTCTCCCC